TGCTCGCAGGTACGGTGGCACCAAGGAAGACCAACGCGGTCACCTATCACGATTAGTAAAAACACTGGATGATTATTTCGACCCAAAGCGCCATGAAACTATGGAAAGTTTCCGTGTTTTCAACTGCTCTGAAATGGAAGGTGAGCCTGTTCATGAACTCATTCTTGAACTACGATGCATTACTGACAACTGTAATTCTTGCTCAGTGCTATATCGAATGCTTCGAGAACGTATTGTGTGCGGTGTGTGGTTGAGCACTTTGCAGAAGCATCTGCTGGCATAGGAAAATTTAACACTGGAGGAAGCGGGAACCATGGCTTTCGCAGCCGAAGAAGTGGGAAAGGGGGCGGCAAAAATAAGCACAGAGCTAACTGTACTTAAGGTTGATGCGCGATAGAGAGCGAGAAACGAGGGGGTGTCAGAATGCAGTCAGTGTGGTAGTACCAAGCATAGCAGCAACGTCTGTGGTTGGTCGAGGGCATGGTCCTAGGGCATATTTCTAAGAATTGCTCGAGCGGCGCCCATGATATAAAGCCTAAGTGAAGCATCGGGCAACTGGGGACGTACACGTTCGAGCTCTTGCTGTAAATGCCCACTCAAATGACGAAGACTTTCATGATGCTACGGATGTGTGTACACTAAGCTCGGCACGCACTGCGCAATTATAACCGCTTATTAAACGCACTTTCACTTGGAGCGGCGTGGACGTCTCAATGCACGTAGATACTAGCTCTACAGTTTTTCATCCGAGGGCAAATTTTCGGGAAACACCGACAAAAATTCTTAATTCTAGAGCCCAAAAACATCAAGCAATTATGCTACCTCGGGAAAATTACAGTGATAGGAGAAAAACGTGTGCCGGCGTCGTATAATGGCATATCCTTTGACTGTACCTCTATCATCCTAGACTTTAAAGGTCCCAGTCTATGTGGACGTGACTGGATTGTCCAGATTTAGAAGTCAGGACTGCCAATTTTTCACATATGAACCCAGCCGGACACCCATGCGGGAACGACCACGTCTGCTATAGAGGACACCCTTTCCGAATTTTAAGACGTGTTCCAGCCAGCAGTCGGAGTGGTGTATAAGCCCCTGGCGCGCCTACTGCTAAAAGAGGGAGCCACATTAAAATTTCATAAGGTTTTGCTCCTACTTTCGCTTAACACGGTAAGGTAGGGCAAGAGTGAGATAGGCTTGTGTCACAGGAAGCGCTATCATACGTCACATACTCGGAGTGGGCTATGCCCATTGTGGCGGTTTTGAAGAAAGGTGGCGCCGTCAGAATTTGCGTTGATCTTAAAGTCACTTTAAACCAGTGCTGTTAGTTCCCTTCACTTCACAGTTGGAGCAATACCCCTTGCCTGCAACATTCGGTGACATTCCCATCAGCGTAACACCTCATCTTTCCATGAATTATGCACGTGGAGTTCTTTCCGACACAGACCTCCTTCACGTGAAGGAGGCTTAACTCCTCGAGGGCCAGAAAGAACAAAATGTGACTAATGTGAAGTGAATCGTCATCCGAAGAAACAATAAGGAAACCCCCACGAAACACTTGGTTTGAGGACAAGGAAACAGTACAAGGACCCTTCCTCAGTTTCAAGTTATAGGCTTATTGCACTAACCAGCTGCCTTTGTAAACTTTTCGAAAAAATGATAAACCGCCCACTTTTATATTTCCTTGAAACACATAATCTGCTCGACCAATTCCAGTGTGGGTTTCGAGAAGGTAGATCCACCACAAACCATCTGGTGCGTATCGAGGCACAGATCCGAGACGCTTTCGTCCACAAGCCATACTTCCTCTCTGTGTTTCTCGATATCGAAAAGGCTTACGACACAACATGGCATTTGGCATATTAAGAGACTTGTCTCACCTGGGTGTGCACAGTAGAATGATTTCCATAATCGAGAGTTACTTGTCCAATCGAACAGTCCGTGTGCGTGTGGGAAGTGTTCTCTCCCAAACATGTGTTCAAGAAACGGGAGTACCGCAAGGCGGTGTACTTAGTTGTACACTTTTTATTATCAAAATGAATTCTTTGCACCTGTCCATCCCCCACAATACGATCTACTGTATATATGTCGACGACGTCCAGCTTGACTTTAGGTCATGCAACCTGGCAATGTGTGAACGACAGGTTCAGCTAGGTTTGAACAAGGTCTCCAAATGAGCAGAAAAAAATGAATTCCGACTGAACCCACAAAAAAACACATGTGTCTTGTGCTCCCGAAAGAGAGGCATGCACTCAGAATCTGACATTGAAATGAATGGTCAACGTCTGTCTGTTAATGCCGAGCATAAATTCTTAGGCCTAATTTTGAACCACAAGCTAACCTCCATACCGCAAATCAAGTATTTAAAAACAAAATGTATAAAAGCCGTGAGTGTTCTGAAAGTGTTGTATGTTGTCCCGTACTACGTGGAGTAGTGACAGGCAATGTTTCATGAATTTATATAGGAGCCTCATTCGCACACACTTTTATTATTGGGCCGTTGTTCATCAGTCTGTGACTCAAAGTGCTTTGAAGATGCTGGATCCCGTGCACCATTTGGGCATCCGCCTTTCTACGGGTGCTTTTCGCACCAGCCCTGTGGAAAGCCTTTACGTTGAGTCAAATGAGTGGTCGCTTCATCTGCAAATAACTTACATGTCCTTTGTATATTTCCTTAAGGTGAAAGCAGACAAGAAGCACCCGTCATACTCTAGTATTAATGATTTCTCGAGCTCCATTCTGTTTCAAAACAGGCCTTCGGTGAGGCAGCCCTTCTCAGTTCGCCTGAAGGGTCTAGCTGAGGAAACTGGAGTGTCACTTGAACACAGTTTAATGGCTCCTCTGGCATACCCGCCACCGTGGCAGTGGCAGACTATAGACTACGATGTGTCTTTCCCAGAAGTTACAAAACATGCGCCTATTCCCCATATCCGAACATACTTCCTGGAACTTCAACACACATACACACGTCCTGAGTTCTTTACAGATGCGTCTGTCTAACTCATCTGTGTCCTACGCTGCTGCTGGCTCATCTTTTTCGGATGCTGGCCCTCTACATCCAGGCACAAGTATCTTCACTGCGGAAGCTTACGCGATACTTGTGGTAGCTAAACACATCAAACAATTACAAATGCAAAAAGCAGTAATTTATTGATTGATTGATTTGTGGGGTTTAACGTCCCAAAACCACCATATATGATTATGAGAGACGCCGTAGTGGAGGGCTCCGGAAATTTTGACCACCTGGGGTTCTTTAACGTGCACCCAAATCTGAGCACACGGGCCTCGAAATTTCCGCCTCCATCGGAAATGCAGCCGCCGCAGCTGGGATTTGAACCCACGACCTGCGGGTCAGCAGCCGAGTTAGCAGTAATTTATACAGACTCCCTCAGTGTGGGAACAGCTCAGCACAATCTTGAAAAACAAAAAAACCTTGTACTCGTCTCACTTTACTCCATTTCATGCACACTCTACACACTCAAACATGTTGCGTTGTGCTGGGTGCCAGTGCACCGTGAGATCAGCTTGCTGCATCGGTTCACGAAAGCACTGCCACTACACCCATATCAATCGCGGCCCTTGATCTTAAGCCGTCTCTCAAACGAAACCACAGGGACTACTGGCAGAGCAAGTGGGATAGACACACACAAAACAAACTACACATTATTAAGCCACACCTTGGCCATTGGCTGCCTGTATCAAAATCGCGTCATACAGAGTTAATACTGACGAGGTTCAGGATAGGACACACATACACGACGCACACATACCTTTTGTCCGTTGGCGATCCACCATTGTGTGACAGATGTGGTGAAGCACTAACAGTTCTTCACTATTTAATCCAGTGCAAACAGTTAGAAACTCTAAAAAACAACACTTTCCATTACCCTACCGGCAACAAATACCTTTTCACCCTGCATTGTTCGTCGGTAGGGAACCACTGTTCACTCACAAATTGGTGCAAGCGTTTTTAAGAGATGTTCGCTTTTATCATGTCATATACCCAGGCGATGCGTAGTGCGACCTCTCAAGAGAGGTTGCTGCTGCAGTGGCTGCATTGAAAAGCACTTGCCTCACGGCCCTTAACACAAGGTTGCTGATGAGGCACTTGTGCTAGTGCCAAATATTTTACACGTGTTTTATTATCGAAACCTTTGTCACCCTTTTCTACTATGCATATTACGCCACTGTCATGATTTATATACTTATGTTTTCACCTGCATTATCGCGAGGAATTTCACGGCCCTTATACAGCCACCCAACATATCATAGTCCACATCTCTAGTCATTGAAATGGCACTCTTTGGCCATCAATTGGCCCTTGCACCATAAAGCACCACACATAATCATGCTTCGGCAACAGCTATCTTCCAGCGGTAAATTGAACCCATTTTGCAAGGCTTATCAAGCGTACAGGCCTATCTGGATGGATGTTGTTCTGGTATCGGAAAAAAAAATGAACGTGACCAGGCGTTACGGCTCGTGATGCAACGATTCAGAGAGCGGGGAGTAAAACTTCGGCTTGACAAATGTAAGTTTCATGAACAATCTGTCACGTGTCTAGGGCACAGAATAAATCAAGGTGGAGCGCGATGGAAAAAAATAGGGAAGCAATCTAAAAGGCTGCAGAACCACGGATTGTCAGCGAATTACGTTCGTTCTTAGGGATGCTGACATACAATTTGAAGTTTCTGCCTCACATGTTTTCTTTGCTTGCTCCACTCTATAAGTTTCTCTAAAACACTCGTTGGAAAACGTGCGTTAGGTAGCGTTTGTAATAGCAAAGCGCAGTCTGCGGGAGACAGGAGTGCTCGTAAACTTTGATCCTAAAAAAACCATTAAAACAAGAATGTGATGCATCACCAAATGGTATTGGAGTCATATTGTTTCACACTGAGGGGAGTGTCAACAGACCTATCGAGTTTCGTTCCCGAACGCTGACCAAAGCCGAGCGAAAGTATTCGCAGCTGAAGCGACAGGCCTTTCCTCTGCTGTTCTCGCAGGCTACGAGTTCACCTTGATCACCGACCACCAGCCACTCCTGGGCCTCCTCAAGTCTGATAGGCCTACTCCGCCACAGGCTGCTGCTCGTATGCAGTGGTGGGTGCTGTATGTTGGAGTATTCTGCTACAGGATACAGTACTGTCCTGGCAAGCTGCTCATCAATTCAGATGCCCAGAGCCGCTTACCCCAAGTTACGAACGAGTCGGAGGCCAGAGGTGAGCCCGCTGAATATGTCCTAGTATTGGAAACCTTCTCAGAGGGGATTATTTCACTGATGGACTTAAAAAGTCAAACGGCAGTCGACCACATCTTATCAAAACTTGATTTTGATCTTATGTATTTGTTTTTCAGTTATTGCATAGAACAGTAAGAAAGTTTTGCTTCACAAACGTGTTCCCTTTGTTTCCACTGTGTCCCCTTTCTTCGCCCCTCCTGCTTTGTCTACAAACTGCAGTATGTACTAAATAAATAAAGAAATCAAACAAATAAAAAGTTGTAAGATATGTATTGCAGGGGTGGCAAGAAAGTAAGACTGTGCAAGTAGGCATGAAAGTAACATATGACCGGAGAAGAGAGCTGTCCGTAGTACATGATTTACTGTACTAGAGTAGAAGAGTTGTGATCCCAGAGGAACTTCGCGCACAAGTTTTAGAACATTTTAATGAAACGCTTCAGGGTTTCACTGCCATGAAAGCAGTCTCCAGGTCCTCTTTTCATTGGCTGGATCTTGATAGAATTATTGAACGGCTATCCGCTTCGTGTAAAAGATGCATTTAAAACCTGCCTAAGGCGGCAGCAACGTTGACATGTAGCTGGCTTAAGACAGAGGAGAACTGAAAAAAGTACACGCTGACTTTGCTAGGCTGGTCGCGGGTACAATGATCCTCGTGTTTGTAAATGCCCGCAGCAAGTGGATGGAGGCTGTTCCCTTGAATCGAGCAAACATATCTGCTACTGTGAGGTGTTTGATGAATATATTTTGTCGATTCGGTATTACGCGTACCACGCTAACAGATAATGGCACACAATCCACCAGCGAGGAGTTGGCGACATTGACGAAGCGGAACAACAAAACTCACGTGCGCACGCCTGTGTAACACCAGCAATCAAACGAATTAGCGGGACGACCAGTTAGTACCATTAACGACGGCCTCAGAAAGATGGGCAAAAGCAGCAGAGAAGTTAACTTGGATCCTCTTTTTTATTACTGACGGACTCTCCTCAGTTATGAAAAATGCCCTTCTGAACGTCTCTTGGGCTACAACGTCTGTTCCCGCTAGGACGCAATATTTCACCCCATTATTGCAGGAACCACCACGACGGATGAGTGGACGGTGCCAGCGGACGTCGACGTTTATGTCCGTAACAACGGGCAGGGAGATAAGTGCACTCCGGGAAGAACCGCATACGTATCCGGTGCCCAAAGGTTCACCATTGATACATCTTAGGGACCGGTATGGCGTGTTAAGCCTTAGAGTCTACACCGAACGTCATTGCCTCTGCAAAGGCAATCTGTGTCAAGGCCAGTGATCGAGCCCACCTGACGCCATCAGCTTAACGACGTCATCAAGTGGCGGCACCGGTCTGCCTTACGCAATGCACGGCGAGCTCCCTCAGCCCACGGGCCCAATGAAGCAAGTGGTGCCATCCAGTCTGGCGAGTCTTACGCAATGCGTGCCAACATCTCTCGTCCTTGGGTGCAATTCAGCGCAGCGGCTCCACATTTGAGCATTATGACGCAATGCAGCGGCGGGTCCCCATTGGAACATTTGGACATGACCCGGCGGTAGTTCTGATTGGACGTTGATGACCTAAAGGATCACTTGCGGCCTATAAAAAACCACGCGGTGCTTCGCCAAGCAGCTGCACTCTAAGCCAAAAATGGCCAAAATGGGAGCAACCGCTGTTTTTACTCCTTCAGACCGACTGTTACTCTCCGAAAAGACCAAGCGGAACAAGATGGCCGACTTGTTCGAGAATGGGGGAGCAACTGTATTCATCTTAAGTTTGTAAGGGAGCAACGGAAGGAGGAACCGCTGTAAATGCTCTCGTCACGCAACGGTTACTCCCCGGCAGGACACCGCACACAAATATGCATGCCGCCCACATTGATATTCATGGGCCAGATTATTGTTTGTTCTGTGTGCCAAACTTCACCAAACCAAAACAGTGATTTATTTTAGCATCCGTAGATAATACGATAGCAGCGCTGGCTGAACACAGAAGGCCTGAGAATACAGTACGGCAAATACCTAACACACGCAGCAGCAGAATGGAGAGTTGGCACGTCAAAGCGGACCGAACGCCGAAACACGTGCAAAACAACGATAAAAAAAGCCTAGACACGCCGTTCGTCCGCGAAGTAAGGGCGTCAAAGTCGATCAAGCACCGAAACACGTGCATAAGGAGCCCCCCCCCCCCCCGCCCAGATATCGGAAAAGAAAAAAAAAAGCGGACCCAGACGCGCTTCTCATCAGCCATACACTTAGTAGCACGCTTCACCGTGTAGTTTGAGGGCAGAATGACAAATCTGCGCCATCTGCGCCCGCACGACAGGTGTGGCGCTAGTGTAGCAAACGATGTAAGTTACAAAGTAATTTTTATTCAGTGTTTATGTTGACTAGCACTAAATAAAAATTACACTCAACTTTTTATATTAATTTATGAGTTTTAGTGTACCTCAGTTTTTTTTTATAATTGTATTAGGAGAACACACTGAAATTATTGCGCTGACGCCTGTGCTGCCACTGCTCGACGTTTTTTTTTTTTCGGCGCAACTACGTTCGCGTTCGCTCTACTTACTCATTTTCATATGGTCTGTGGTTGGCGAGCACATGGACGCGCGAGCTTGTGAGCTATGTTTTGATCGTGTGTGTGTGTCGCAGATTTGCGTTTCTACTTATTCGTGATGAAGGTTAGTGTATATTTATCTTTATGGAGCGCGAAGTAGTTGTGGATTTTGCTGCTGGGTGGAACAAACACATCGTAAACACGTCTTCAGCTATCTGCAAGCCTGCTGGCTCGTCGGACAAAGGACTGTGCATGCATCAGCGTGCAGGTGAGTGGCATTTCCAGCAACATTTAATGCTCTTACAATACATTGTTGAGTGGTTGCGCTATTGAAATAGAAATGATTTGCTCTTATTCACCGTATCCATTGCTAGCCGTATCGGACTAAATTACCTCTATTACCGCCTGCATACCCTCTTGCTTCCCCTGTCACCACTGCAGTGCCAGTGTACTTTTGCAGTTAAAAGTTCATTTCCGCAACACTACCTCGCTTGAAAAAACATTGGGGCGGGGTTGTAGCTGCATTCATACTGGCACTTTTCTACCATTGGCTTTATGTGATGTTAACGGCTGAGTGTTGGGGCCTTGGGCCGCATTTTTTAGAGATGTAAAGTGTATGTAAATCAGTAAGTGAACAAATCATTGTCGCATCACTTCACTGGCATAGCCAGGCGGTTGCGCACAGAATTTTTTTAGGCCGGGCGTAGGGAGCCCAAATTGACGACCATATTCGCTTGCCCGGCCTATTCAGATAAGCGGACCGCCCCCCCCCCCCCCCGCACGCCTAAAAAAAAAAATCTGCCCACATCACTGCGTCACTTGCTTCACCTCTGCGCTGAACGTACTATTTTATAAGCGCACCATAGCGAGCAGTTTACATATTGACAGAACAATTGGAGGAGGAATGACCCAAATCTTTCAGATTTCTTTAGTGATGCAAAACCTTAGCAAAACTGAATATTGTAAAAGACAATCATAAATGCTGTATGTTCTCGTTAGCGCTGTCATTATTCTGCATCATGAAATCTTTATGCGCTGTGAAAACTTGGCATGCCGTTGAAGTCACATATCGACGTTAATACCAATCGACGAAAATTTCGACAACTTCAATAACGCCGTTTGGGATTTGCCGCATGCACATAATTAGGCTGATTCCCACTTGGCTGTTCTTAACCTGACTTCACTGCTACCAAATGAAACAATATTTGATGCATGTCTTTTACTTTTTTTCAGGGATATGACACAAATTTGGTTATACTGCAGGTAAAGATGCTCCCAACGATGCTAAAGTACAGAAAGCAAGTGAATTTCGGTATGTGCAGACTTTTTGTAATACGTATATGAAAGCATCGCTTTTTAGGGGCAAACTGTGCATGTGTTGGCCAGAGAATAGTTCATTATGCCACATGGTTACACTGGCACTGACAATTCGACATGGCTCCGCTGGCCCGTGTGTGTGCTCACACTGTTACCGTTAAGATAAAATGTTTATGTTTTCATTGCAGGGATTGCTGTTTGTACTAAAAAGCCAACTGCCAAGATCTGTTTACGCTGGTACTCCTAAAAGTATGCTTTCTCTATTTACATGGATTTTGGCTTGCACAATGCATAACACTTGGGCCTAGATTCACAAAGCTGTCCATGCGCAGGCCTTCATAACAGTGTTTCTTGACTTGCCTTTACCCTGTTTTCTGCAGATGTTTCGTGGGTTTAAAAGTGCCACAGCATGTTGACCTCCCCCACTCTGAAATATTCGCGTTCAAAGTTCCGCAAGAGTGGGCTTAACTTTCTTGTGCACCTCTTTGCTAGTCCAAGATACTGAAGTGTTATGCTCTTACTAGAGGTGGCAGTGTTTATAATGTTTGTATTTCCATCACATTGACCAAGTATGCGATCTTAGCTTGACTGGTAGCACATCCTCAACAAATGTCTTTGTGGCACATGTAGAAGGCAGTACACAATAAATAGGCAGACATTCACACCGGGAGCTAACTTCTAATAATGCTTTTTTTTTTTGGAAACCATGGTGTGCTTATTCCAATTTGTCTAACAAGCAGTAACCTGTTTGCCTGTGAACCAACAAGACGTTGAACTAATAAAAGCTTCACATCTTGTTGCTCTCAAATATATATGTATTGGGAAGCTATCTGTAGCACTGTCAAACAAAGAATCAGAATATCTGTGCATGCCTTAAGATATATTGCTTCGTTTACATATCTCGTGGCTGTGACTCGTCAACCTAGTGAACAAATGCACCCTAGTTTTCTAAATTTAAAGCATTTTTTGAAGGTAGCACGGTCTACATTTATTTGTCTATAGTTTTGTCCAGCCGTTTGCGTCAGGTACAAAGAAATATACTGAAGATTATCATGTAGCCTCTGCAAATGGTTGCTTTCAAGCAGGCTTTGCATGCTTGGCTTGTGCC